TCTGGTGGAAATATCGTCGGGCATACTGATAGATAATTTTCACTTTAAATAATAAACACTTATCAGCACAAATATTGTAAGCATGATGATACACTATTGATTATTTTGCCATAACAATAAATATTTTTAACCATGCATAAAAAATTTTACGTAATGATACACACACAAATAATACAGGGTCAGCAATTACACACACAAATAATATTTTACCGAAATGCATTTGAAAAGAAACCCTTATTGAGAAAAAAAAAATGATGCGTTCATTTTGTATTGCGCACACACAAAATCACCACTTCACACTGCTAAGGCACTTTGAAGGAAAAAGGAAATCACTCCTGTAGCACGTGGGAAAGAAATTCACTACTTCCGACACTGAGGGAAGAATTTTGCCGTAGCACGTTGCAGAAAAATTACTGATGTAGCACATTTAGCGAAAATCACTATTGTATCACATTTGTCACAAAAGTTGAATGATCGAAGAATTATTGCACGAACTGGCGAAGTCAGCGGAACGGAACAGATCACATGATGATTTGCTGAAGCTCCTTGCGATGATATGCACGACTTTGAAAAAAAAAAAAAAAAAAACATAAGCAATATACATCAATACTTCTAGAAATAATTGAAGGGGTACGTTGTAGCATACGTTTAATGTTCATATTCGTTGTTATTTTTAGTCAGTTCTTCAGAATGCCGTGGATGCACGTGGCTTAGGGTCGTTGAAAATCCATTCTCAGTAGCGTGCTCAGTCAAAAATCACCACTTTTGGTGGTCGTGTGTTCTTAATGCATGATATAATTAAAGAAAATAAGAGTAGACAATCTCCTATAACAAAAGAATATATTAAGTACTAAATTACAATTTAAATTACATTGCAGAGATCAACACAGAGCTCGAAACACAGTTCGTGCTAGCGTCGTAGCGAACACTTGTCCGACGAGAAGTCTGAGTCAGTAATGATGTCGCTTTGCTGCTCCGATTAAGAACTGGATTTTACACGTGGCGCCATCTCATGAATAGAAGTTGAAGTATCTGTCGGAACGCCACATATATATGTGTGTGTGCATGTTTATTTACACACATGTATATGCACATACATATGAATTTATATACATGCATACATGAACACATACATGCATGCATACATAAATTTCTGAACCTGGTTCTGGTAATAGAAAAGTACTTAAAAAAGACACTTGATGAGAAAAATTTTTTATGTACTTTAAAATATTTAGTTGTCTTTCAATTATTAGTATAAATAATATTAATCAAAAGTAATATTTTCCCATTCCATATATTACTGACTAAGGTTTGCTTAATTGTTTCAATTAAGTAAATCTTTGGTTAGAATAAACTGAAGGGTATCCCTTGTATTATCGCAAAGTTGCTGTTTCATTTATAATTGTTTCAATTAAGTAAATCTTTGGTTAGAATAGTATGAAGGGTACCCCTTGTATTATCACAAAGTTGGTGTTTCATTTATCGCCAAGTTGTTGTTTCGTTTATCGCTAAGTTGTTGGGCTAAAGTGCAGAATCGCCCACTTATTTGATTGGCGTTTGTTTGGTGCTTTTTATAAAAGTTTGGATTTTTGTCAGTTTTTTTTTTTTTTTAAATAGGTCAATGTGTACATGGATTAAGTCAAGGGAGTGTGCAATGCCATTTTTGTGCAATTCTGGGATTTTTTTTAAGTGAAAATAGGTCGATGTGTACATGGATACCGAGTATGTGCAATTCTTAAAAATGCGTCAAGCAGTGGGTGATTCTGCACTGTTGCCAGTTGTTGTTTCATTTATGGTAACCTGAGTAGTTGAATGTTCTGTAAATATACTTTTTACCTAGATTTGGGTGCTCCTTTGACTTTTTAAGTGAAAATATATTGATGTCTACATGGACAAAGGGAGTGCACAATGCCAAGTTTGTGCAATTTTCTAATGTTTTTTTAAGTGAAAATAGGTCAACATGTACATGTATACACGTAAAAGAATTGCACAAACTCGGTATCCATGTACCGCCAAAACTAGCCAGTTTTTGCGAAAGGGGTACCCGTAAATATACTTTTTTTACCAAATCTTTTAGAGAATGAGAGAGAACATACAGTGGATGGACAAAAATATGGAAACACCTTGTGAAATGCATGTTTGAAAAGAAAGATTGATTTTAATGAAATATGTAGGTGGCGCTGGTGTTTTTGACTACTGACGCCACCTATACAACTTCGTAAATGTGCTAAACAGTTCAGTTGTCGGGTACCGTTATGTGAGGTTGTCATTGCATTATGTCAGAGTTAAGAGACTTCGAACGTGGGCAAATTGTTGGAGCACATATGGTAGGTGCTTCCGTAAGCAAGGTAGCCGAGGTGTTTAGTGTTTCAAGAGGTACTGTATCGAAGATTTATTCCGAATATTTGAAAAGCGGAAAAACATCATCTGCTAAATCACAGCGCGGACGAAAGTGTGTCCTGCGTGATTGTGACAGACAATCATTAAGGGCAATTGTGACGAAAAATAAGAAGACCACAGCTGCAAAAGTTACTGCTGAAATGAATGTTGTGTTACCGAACCCTGTGAGTACCAAAACAATTAGAAGGGAGCTTCATAACAGGGAATTTGCTGGCCGTGCTGCAATTGAGAAGCCACTCATCAGTGATGCTAATGCCCGTAACAGGAAAAGGTGGTGTTTAAGTCGTAAAGCCTGGACTATAGAGCAGTGGAAGCGAGTAATATGGGTCTGACGAGTCTTCTTTCACATTGTTTCCCATTCTGGCCGAGTTTACACATCTGGAGAACGCCATCTCAAGCCTATAATACAGACTGCTTGTTGCCAAGAGTGAAACATGGCGGGGGTTTTGTTATGGTTTGGGCAGCCATATCGCGGTTCTCTGCTAGCCCCATGATAACTGTGTCAGGGCACATGACTGCCAAGACTTATGTGAACATTTTGGCCGATCAAGTTCATCCCATGGTACAAACTTTGTTCCCCGATGGTGATGGTGTCTTCCAAGACGACAAAGCCCCTGTTCACACAGCTTACATTGTCCAGGACTGGTTTTCTGAGCACGAAGATGATTGCCCCATCTCCCCTGGCTGCCTCAGTCACCAGACCTGAATATTATCGAACCTTTGTGGTCTACATTGGAACGGAAATTGCGTTCTCGTTATCCACCGCCAACATCGTTATCTGAACTTGCCACCGTTTTGCAGGAAGAATGGTATAATATTCCCTTGGCAAACATACAGGAACTGTATTTATCCATTCCGAGAAGACTGCAAGCTGTTTTGGATGCCAACGGGTTTCCTACACCATATTAAGCAAAGAAACATGTTTTTTTAAAGGTGTTTCCATATTTTTGTCTAACCCCTGTATATATGAATGTAGGAATCCAACAGATTATAAATTTTTTTGGCTATTCACTCATATTCGAATGATGGTTCATCGGTTTTATTATGCTAAATTATATCTTTGCTGAAAAGTTTCTAGTAGTAAAAAAAGTATTTAAAGTTATCAACTTCAGTTTTTGCTTAAATGTTCGATTTCAGTGAGCAGTAACATTTCAGCAATGGTACTATTCTATTGTTTTCAGCAATAGCTTTTCAATAAATATTTGACTAGCTTTTGAGGTACTATTCCGTTTTGAAGACCTTAAAAAAATTACAGCGAAAATGTATGCGCAAAAGCGCCAAATCTAGCAAACGCGCTGATTTAACAGCACGCAAAATCTAGCATACGCGCTGATTTTAGATTGCGTAAGTTTATATAGTTCTATATTTCTTAGGAAGACATTGAAATACTAGTTTAATTTTGAAATCCTTTTTTGATATCCTATGGATTTAACAATTTGGGAATTGCTCATGATGAAAAGTCTGCAATAGAATTTTGGGTAAAGTACAGAATCACCCACTGCCACGTTTTAAAGAATTGCACATACTTGGTATCCATGTACACATCGACCTATTTTCACTTAAAAAGTAAAAGAAAATTGACAAAAATCCAATTGTTTTTACCCTTGTAAAATGCGGCAAACAAATAAGTGGGCGATTCTGCAATTTACCGAGAATTTTTTCAAAGAAAAGGCATCATTCATAATAGAAAATTATGTTTAAACAACCAACGAGATGAAATTATGCTTTAGCAATAACACGGTAGCGAAATAGCAATGTAGGCATCCATTCAGTTATGTTTAGCAATTTTTATATAAATTATTATAATGATTTGAAATAGTTATTTACTCTTATGCTTCCATTTAGTCATCTTTAGCCTTTTTTATATAAATTATAATAATAAAAGAGTATTAAATTAACATTTCATCTAAATTAAAACATCAATCTTAGAGAGTTATTTACTATTATACTTCCTTTCTTGCGTTAGGGTTGCCACAATTATAATGTCTATATGTTTTTTGTAAAGCTGGCATATGGTCACCAACTTTAATCAATCGTATGTCATCTGGAACAGTTTTCTTGCTGCTCAGGAAACTTACAGGTTGTCCTTTGTGTTTATGACTTGAAAATCCAGAAATCAGTTGTTATGCTAGGCAAAGTCGAAAATGTAATTGTTCTAAGGTCCTGAATCTCTTCTGCTTACTTTCCAGAGAATAAAGGCATTGACAATTGCCAGATCAATTAGGAAGTAGAGGATTCAATGCCACCATTTTCGGGAATGTCGTCTAATTTCGTATCTTTCTCGAAGTTGATCAACATGATCAACACCTCCCATAATCTCATTATTTGTGGCAATAGCAGTTGGACATGATACCTGAGTAATGGTTCCACCCTTGTTCTTCCTTGGGACTTTTGTAGTTCTACTTGTACTATTTACTGTTATAAGAATGGTTACAGGTTTATTATCCATCCGTTAGATGACTCTTTGCATTTGAATTGAAACTTCCCTCTCTTCAACTTTACTTTTTCCCTCATTATTGCGGGAAGAACTTTTCGGTTTGTTTTTACAGAACAGAGAGCATAAATGTTGTTTTGATGTAGCATTTTTATTAGTTTTACCGTCATAAAAAATTGTCAAATGCTATGACACTTCTTGTACCTTTCAAACAACTTGTTAGATTGCGTACCACTCGTTCTCCCAATGTATCCATTACAATTTGATCTTTAGCTTTACCAGTATAAATGCCAAACTTCTGTATGTATCCAGTTCTTGAATCAGCTAAACACCAAACTTTGTATTCCCTTTTCACATGTTTCAAAGGCATGTATTGTTTTAGAGTAGACCAGCATTTGAAAGGTATCATGCTTTCATCAACAGCAAATACACTAGATGATTTGAAAGCTTCAGCAGTTTTCTTATTGAGGTGTTTAATAAGAGGTCTAACCTTATGAAGTTCATCATTATTTGGGTCATCTCTTGGACCCATCCAATAGACGACTGGTATCATCAGATCAGCCCTCATCTTCTTCATCATTTGCATTGTATTCTTCAATGTTGCTAAAATCATTTTGAACCTCTATAATTCTAGACATTGAATCAGTTCTTTGTTTCAGGTAATTTCATTTCTTCCATTACTTTATTTGTACCTCTACTAGTGCTTGGCTGTGGATCATCAACATTACTATTTTCCTCGATTGAAAATGCTTCATCTGTTTCATCATCTGCATCTTTGTCTGAATCTTCAGGATGACTTGGGAGGGCAAAAAATAATTCAGCAGCCTCCTCTGCTATATATTTGTTCTGTTTTTTTTTTTTTTATACATTTCCATGGCAAGTGCAAAAAAAAATAATTTCATTAAGACAAATTAGAGATTTCCATTGAAGGTCAAATACAAAAAACTGGCAAATATATTCTAAATTTTACCTACTATAAAGAATTTGCCATAAACTTGAACTTTTGTGCTTATCAATAACTCACGAGACAAAATGGCTCCCCAGTAGAGGTGTCTCTTCTTGACACCATGCTAACCTTCATTTGATCCCATGCTAACCTTCATTGTTAGTCCCATTTATGTGAACAAAGCCTGCCATTTTTTCCCCCTGAAGTTATTAACAGATGGCAGAACAGATCATAGGTGGGAAAATAACTTCCCATCAACATTTAAAAATTAATGAAGTTAGAAGTATATTTCCTACAGCCTTATAAAGGGTTAAAACATAACTTCTTATCTAATATGTCTAAACATTTTGGATATGTTTAATTGTTTTTATTTTGTTACAATATACTTAACTTTGTCTTTTATTTTTTCAGCATAACAAAGTAATCAAAATGGAGACCAAAATTGGCTCTTCTCGAACTATGTCACGCAAAAGAAAGCTATGTGACATAATTGAAGGGCCAGAAATAGATGAAGATTCAAAATCACAAAGGTTGGATAGTGAAGATCAAACAAAAAAACAAAACCATAGTGAAATAGAAAAAAGAAGGCGAGATAAGATGAATACTTACATAACAGAATTATCCTCTATGGTACCAATGTGTAATGCCATGTCTAGAAAGTTGGATAAGTTGACAGTGTTGCGAATGGCTGTTCAACACATGAAAACTCTCCGAGGATCAATAAATTCATATGCTGAAGGACTGTATAAACCATCTTTTTTATCTGATGAAGAACTGAAGCGATTAATTCTTCGAGCTGCTGATGGCTTTCTCTTTGTTGTAAGTTGTGATCGAGGTCGAATACTATTTGTTTCAGAATCAGTTTCACAAGTTTTAAATTATTCGCAGAATGATCTCTTAGGCCAAAGTTGGTTTGATATTCTTCACCCTAAAGATATAGCAAAAGTAAAGGAGCAACTCTCATCCTCTGATTTATCTCCAAAAGAAAGATTGATTGATGCCAAAACTATGATGCCAGTCAAGACAGATATACCGCAGACTCAAGTAAGATTATGTCCTGGTGCCAGGCGTTCATTTTTCTGCCGAATGAAGTGTAAAATTTCATCCTCTGTAAAAGAAGAAGCTGACACAACAACTGGTGTACACAGAAAAAGAAAATCACAGCATTCAGATCGTAAATATTGTGTAGTTCATTGTACTGGGTATTTAAAATCTTGGGCTCCTGCCAATCTTAGTATAGACTTAGAAAATGATGTAGATAGTGATTGCAATTTAAGTTGTTTAGTTGCTATTGGACAAGTACAACACTGTCTTGCTAATCCTACACCAAAAGATCCACAAATAGATTTGAGGTCTATGGAATTTACTTCTCGCCATGCAATGGATGGTAAATTTCTTTTTGTAGACCAAAGAGCATTTTTAATGCTTGGTTATTTACCACAAGAGCTTCAAGGAACATCTTGTTATGAATATTTTCATCAAGAAGACATCATGCACCTTGCTGAATTTCATAGACAGGTGTTACAAGGACAAGAAAGATTAGTTTCTCAGATTTATCGATTTCGAAAGAAAGAAGGAAATTTTGCATTTCTGAGTAGTAAATGGAAAACCTTTCGTAACCCATGGACAAAAGAACTTGAATATATTATAGCTGTGAATACATTAGTTCCTATAATGGACACTGGACTTGTAGAAAGCTCTAACTGTACAAGAGATGAGTTATTGAGTAGCAATTCAAATAGTTTAGATACTGTCCTGTCATATTTACCTTCCAGTGGAAATGTTGGAGATGCACCACGAATATTAGGTACTAAAGTTGGAGCTGGCAAAATTGGACGACAAATAGCTGAAGAAGTTTTGGAAAGGCAGAGGGGCCAGGAAATTTTTAATCCCAATTTAAATCCTATCCAAAGCAATGATGTTTTTAACTCTCCTTTGGGATCTAGTGTCTTAGATTCTCCAAAAGAAAGAAATTTAATTTCCAGAAATTTTAATCACAAAAACTCAGCATTTGACAGTGATATGCTCACTAGCTCACCTTCATCAAATAGCACTTCATCACAGTATGCTCCTCCTGTACATAATCCTGTTCCTATGAATGAACCAGTACAGTTTTCAGCAATGGATGCTATGATTGGCCGAGACATGTTGCAAGCTTCATTTCAGAGCAACAGTAGTGAAGGCAATGATGAAGCAGCAATGGCTGTAATAATGAGCCTTCTTGAAGCAGATGCAGGTCTTGGAGGACCTGTGGATTTTAGTGGTTTACCATGGCCACTCCCATAAAGAGAGATCCTTGCCTTTATTAGAATTCAATTAAGTAACGTGTGAATTTTGGATATTTTTATCCAGGAAAAAAGAAAGAAATGCAAGCTCTTGTGTATAAATTATGTTGTTGTTAAGCTTAATTTGATGGCAAGAAAAACTAAAAATTGTATCTTTTAAAATGAATGTCAAATGATACAGCAACACATATATGCATTCCATTAAAGTGCAACTATTTCTTGTAGATGCAGAATGTGCAATCAAGGTAGGCAGGTTAGAATGTTTTCATATTTAGCCAAAATGAGTATAAATTTAATATTGATATAAAATAAAAGCATTATTTACAAATGCTTTCTAATGGCCAGACACTTGCTTATTAAAGACTGGTCAGGAATGGTCATACTCCTCAGCCATCTAGTTCTTTCATTACTAAGAACACTATGCAGGGAGTAAACTAATATTAAACTTGGAAAAGGAATGTATAGACAACAGACATCCATGCTTCTTCCAAGATTAAAAGATGGGCAAAATGGATAGCAGCCAGCACTGCTAACCATCACATTGAAAAAGGCAGCTCAGTGAAATAAATAGCAATGAAAAGCATAGCTTTTATATGTTTTTGCATGCGAAGAAAGTTTGCTTTCACCATTAGCTTAAAATATTCATGTCATGCAACTTTTTTTTATTTCAAATTACCTTCATGTATTTTTATTAGTTAAATATATGTGCTTATCTAATGTTAACTAATCAATCCGTGTACTGTTCTGAAATTTCATGCTAAAAGAATGAGGTTTTATTTTGCTTTTCATAAAACTCTGAAGAAATATTTTTAATATATTTGTGGAAGGATAGTTTATGAATTAGAATAAATGTGTTTTAATATTATACTTCAGCTATTATTATTGTTATTAGTTTGTTATAAAAAATTACCCTATTTAAACATATCAGATAGGTGTTTGAAGTGTGATAAATTTATATTTTTGTCATTGTTAAAATTTTTACCCATAAGCCTTATGTTTGTAGCATTGTTATATTGTTATCTGATTCTGCCTACCTTGAAAAAGCTCAGTGCACATACCTGTTCTAAATGCTCAAAATATGTATATAAATTTATAAGCTTTTTCAGAACATCCAAGGAAAAAAATTATAATTTTCAGAATGGTTATTTATAAATGAATTCAAGAAACTTGAAAAGATTTTTTTTTTCAATTTATTACATTTATAAAAATGTCAGGAAACTAAAAATACTTGTTTTTAATTATAAAATTAATTCAGAATTTATAAATGTGTTGTAGTTTTCGTAGGTAATTCAGTTCTATTGTCTTTTAATGTTTATTTTATTTATTTAATTTTTTCCCCAATGGCAGGCACTAGCCATTATAGGTGTTGACCATTACTAAGGCCAAAAGTGGTGGTCACTTTATTATGGAGGCACTTAATAGGTGGGCCACCATTACCTCCTATGAAAGGACAGACAATTTACCTCCATGCTTTCTTAGGGATTTGAACCTGGGCCCTTCAGTACAGCAGTCAGAGTCACTAACCACTTTCTCATCTGGGTGGCCTTTTAAAGTTTATAATTACTTACATGTGTGTGTGTGTGTATATATATATATATATATATATATATAAAGAGAGAGAAGTTAATGATACAGTGGTTTATCTTTGGAGCATTTGTTTCCAAAAAAAAAAAAAAAAAATAATGCATATCTTATAATCTCAAATTTTTTTTTTAAAAAAGGAAACTTAGAATCTGGTTAAACTTGAACTGTAGTGCTTGTATTGAGATGTGTCTGATTGATTAGAAGAGAGAGTTATAAACACATGAAAGTGTAGAAATTTTTAGTAAATTCTGATCCTATTAATTTTAATGTTAGGATTGGTGAAATACAGAATTCAAAACTATTGTGAGATAAACATCTAAGTCCATGATTTCTACACAGGAGCAAATGTGTTACATGTTTAGGTAAACTAAATGTATCAATCTGTGATATGTACTATAACTCTTCGCACAAAAATGCAAGATGTGATGCAGTGCTTTAGATATCATTAGATAATTATTTCAAGTCAAATAATTTCTGAAATACTGTAGGATAAGTGTTTAGTTTAAGTTTGTAAATGTTCATAATCAACAGAATATATTTCTGAAAATATCAGCTGGCACTAGTCTTTTTTTCACCACTTGGTGCAATCTCTGCAGTTCATAAATTTTGCTGCCAAGTGAATCCCTGAATTTTTTTATTTGCTGCACTGAAAGTGGTTATGGAAAACATCACTATCTAGGATTTATGTATAACTGAGATTATCTGATAAGCAATGAATAATAATAATAATCTGTCTCTTATATAATAATATAATAATAGTAAAACAGTATACTATCATAATTATTATTTTTTTATGCTTCTGTACAGTAATTAGTTACAAGGGGGGAAACTGTTATTTTCTCATTCTGTTAATTCAATTTAATGTTTCAGCAATTTAATGTTGCTTCATTTTCTTTCTCAAAGAGCCATTTTCAAAGCAAGAAGGTCGGCTATCATTAATCTGAAAACGATCATGGCATTTTACAGATAATCAGAATTTTATTTTCCTTAAAAGTATAATTATGAAGATAAATACAGACAGTATTTCCAAAATCAAATAGAAAAATGAAAGAAGAAATGATTCTGAATGTACTCTGTCAAATTAACTAGTATTTCCAAACCTTCTAGCCTTGCTACCCATGTGCGTATAGCTACTGGGGAAAAATTTTAGTACTTTCTGATTATCCACATCTCCATGAAAAGTTGCCAATTCATTAGCAACTCTGTGAATTGCCAGAAGACCTTTGTTTGCCTGTCTTTATGGCTCACAAATATTATATTGTTGATAAACAATAATAAAAAGAAACATTTTATAAAAACAAGAAATTTCATGAGAAAAAATAAAAATCTATCTAGTCAGTATTTATCTTTTACAACTGATAGATGCTGGTTCAACAAAATGACAGTTAAATGTGAAGCATGTAAATTCATGTGTACTCATATGGTATTTCATGAGTAAATTGGTTGTTGTTATATGAATGCTCAAAAATATGTGAAAAAGTGCAATTCTTGTAAATGTTTAAATTAGAGGCACAGATAATTAGAAAGTATTTAAATTCCTAGAAGAAAACAATATAGTAAAAGTAATAATAAGCAAACCTTTATATGTATTAATGTATAATTATCAATTAAATCATAATTACAAATAAATATATATGATTATACAATAAAGGAACACTACTTCAGAATTTTTTTTAACCTGTCAAAAATAATCTCTTGATCCATTCTTTTGAGAACCACTGATATGAATAATGAGGCTAACTAATTACTAGCATTAAGACACAATAACACGCCGAATAAATACTGATTCAGAAGTCAAACAACAAAAATCATTTGCGGTTTTGCAGCTGAAGATGATGGTTCGGTAAAACCATCGAAACTAGTCCTGTGAAAATTTTGTGAATTAACGCTGATTTTTGTTGTTTGACTTCTGAATCAGTAATTACTAGCATTCAGTTATAGAGAAGACCCCCTTTCAAACTATTAATTTATTTATATTCATGTGAGTCTCTTTGTAGATAAGAAACACTGTAATTCTGGTTATCTATAATTTGGGAACTTTCAGTGCAGAAGACATGTCTGTTAAAGAAATTATCTGTTTTAAGATATTCAGTGAAAAGTTATAGGCATGTGAATATCTAATATTGCTAGTGTAATGATAAATAAGTCAGTATTTTTTTCATTTTTATTTTTTTCATTCATTCAAAAATTGACATAATGGAAGAAATAAGTGTAAAGTAATATATTTCTGCATGTAATATTTTGTTTAGAACTAATATATAAATATGCTTATACCGGTGGTCTTCAAACTTTGTTGACTTATGGAAGTTTTAGAACTATAAAGTTTCTTGAGGGAATCCCATCCCACTTTTAGAAAAATATAGCTTAAAATAATATGTATAATATAATAAAAAATAGTATGTTATACAGTCAAATGTCGTTAATTCGGACACCCATAATCCGGAATGATCTATAATCCGGACCTCAAAGCTAAAAACTTTCTGCGCATGCGCCGCGTTGACACATGCGCATAGGCATTTACGCGTGCGCGTAAGACCTTTATGACTGCGCATATGCATGTGCACAAGTGCAGAATACGTTTTTGCGTGCACGTTTAATGTATAACGGATGGTATAAGCTAAAATTATCTATTTCAGTTAATGTTGATGATTGCGTTGTTCCTTAATCTTCGAATTAGATGCGGCTTATTATTTTTTGCAGACTGTAAGAGCAATGTTATAAAAGTAAACTTGAACTTTCGATTATGCCAAATAGAATTTCCGTTGCTGGAGCTCCCAAAAGATCTACAAATCGAAAGTATGTTTCAATGTCCATCAAACAAAAAAGTGGAAAACAAAAAATGCAAAAAATGGATAAAGATATGAAGAAGGTGACAGAGAGGTTAGTGAAAACTAAAAAAATTTCAATTGACAAGTTAGTCGGTATTCTCGGCACAGCAATTACGGGACTTGAACAGCGGAACTTTGTAACTGAACAAGAAATTATGTCTGTTTATAGAATTAAAGAGAAAGTATTATCACATAAAACGAAGCAACTTAAACAACTTACATTGAAAGAAATGTTTAATAAAGTAAACAAATAAATATTAAGCTTTTTTTTTTTTAATTTTGATACCCTTTAGATCATAATTGTTCTTTATTTCATAAATTACGGTTTCATATTTTATATTAGAATTTCTGCTTGCCATCTTACGAGATTTAAACTGATGATCTATAATCCGGAATCGCCGAAGTCCCGACGAGTCCGGATTAACGACTTTTGACTGTAGTTATTTTATGTAAAGGCAATCAAAAAAAGTATTGTATTTTTTATTAAAAATTGCCATCTAGTGGGCAGTAAATAAATTTAATAAATTTACTCATTATTAGCATTAACTTGTGCTCCAAGTGTTACCTACCATTGCATTAAGTTAAGCAACAGGAGTGTGCTTGCATTTTTGTTACCCAAACTGTTCAAGTCTAGCTGCATTGATGTTAATTGCAGTCACATTTCATATTCTTCATTTAATTATCTGTATTTTATTTTAGGTGCCATATGCCATGAAAAAGTTTTTTTTTTTTTTTTTTTTTTTTTTTTTTTTACTCAAATATTTTGTTCTGAATGGTGTTAAAATGTTTATAGCTATGTGAGAAACATCCAGGTATTCTGCATGAATATACATAAAAAATGTAGGAACTGCAGTTGCTTAAATTTAGATTTTAATGTTGAATCTATTGATATGTCGATAAGTTGTTCCTTTTTTCATTGGCAAGCTTTCTGATTTATTGTAGTACTTTTACAAATTTTTTATTCAGTCATACTTAGCTTTTTCTTATTGGAAATAATCTCTTATAGTTTTCTGCAGTTGAAAAATGTGTTCCATTATCTTTATATTTTTTAAAACAAGTTAGCTAGTGTAAGTGCTTTATAATTTTCTTTTTGAATTTATATATTTACCCTGGGGTTCCATGGAACATTATTTGAAAGCCACTGTGCTGTACATACAGAGGATAACATACTTCCTACCTACTGAACTTCTCTGTTGACCTTCAGAATAAAATCATAAAATATATTTCTGATGCTTATAAAAAGTAATGTCAATTCAATATCTTTGATACTTCTAAACCACCGAGATGAATTTACTTACCAAATATAAATATATTACATATTAATTGCAATTTACTTAGTATTAGATTTGTGAAATAATCCATTTATTCAGATTACTCTTTTAATACAGGATTTATCATCTGAGGAATGAGACATTAATCTTATGTTTATAGACATTACACTTCCTACCTTTTGAACTTATCTGCAGAACATCATAATAAAATCTTAAAACATATGTGTGACAGTTGTAAACTAGCTTAATATCAATATGTTCTATGCTTCTGCATGACCAAGATATATTTATTTACCAAAATAAATATTTTTTTTTTTTTTAATTTGCAATGATTTGAAGTTGTAGTTAAAACTTTCTGTCCTAATTTTTATCATTTTTATTAAATTATTTTGTTGATTTTAACCAGTCAGTAAAATAATTATTGTAATTTTGACAAAGCTCTTGACTATTTGCCTAAGGAGTACTATGTTTTGGAGGAATTTTATAGGAAATTGGTTACATTTGAGGACCTATGGGAGAATAACCTTTTATATCTATTGACATGAATTTTGAGAAAAATATATTAAATAGTAGGAAATTCAGAACACCTGATTCACAAAGACATGAGAGAAATGAAATTCAAAACCAGTAAAATCCCAAAATTTCCCAATAAAAATTTTTCAAACGAGAATTATTTTCCCACACAATATGTGCTAAATCTTTCCTTGGTTATAGTTACTGATATAAATATATATTTTTCTGAAGTGATTCATAATGTAAAATCTATTCATACTGCCCACTAGATGGCATTATTCCTTCAGCTTTCACAAAATATGGACATAAATGGTT